CCGCCGCGCGACGAGACGCGCCGCCCACGCCACGTGGGGGAATGGGACGGGACGGGGAAGGGATGCAGAAAGCGAGAAGACACTATCCCCAACAGATGGTTGTGGGGAGAATGCAGTGGGGGAACGTCCACTTCAGATGCGAGAAATTTAGGATACGATGACACTGAAAAACACCATCTACATGAGACGGCGGAAGGCGATGAGCTACTTGCTATTCAAAAGATAATGCCGGTCATTGGTTTACTTTAGAGGGTCTAGGAAAAATAAACACAATTTCAAATATTGAGAGTCGGGTTGATTCAAAGGTGAGTAAATGTGCAAAATAATGACCGTAGTAAGCTGACATAAAAAATCTTATTTATCTATTGTCATGAACCGTTTTTAAATAATCTCCTACATTTGGCTCCCCCGACTGAAATGAATTACAAATTTCGAAAGTATCATTTTCACAATACACTTTCCCTTTCAAGATGGCCTAACATAAATCACTATCGAAGTGTTTCGTATTAAGGAGAAAAATATAACAGGGTTTCCCATTCTGTAAATCACACACATTCGCTCCAACTCCCAATGTTAACATTTTAGGTAACAATCCTCGACAGCCTGCATTAGGTAAGGACATAAAGTACTTTTTTAAATGATAAAAGAGTATTATAAGTTTTAAATTTATTTCAATGAATGTGCACCTGACACCAAGAGACGTAGCCCCAATCCCTTGAAGCAGTCTTTTGAACTGCTTTTGCTAACACGGCATTTTTTCAAAAGATTACTCATTAACATAAATTATTATACGCGACACCAGCGCTTGTTTGTCCACAGCGGCTACTTCCTAATGAATTTACCTTCTGTTCACCACGTTGGGAGAAACATGAGCGAGGACAGAAAGATGCGGAACACACACTGGCATTCTAACATGCAGCCGAAAAGCATGTTTTCAGTTAGAATAAGCCAATGGTGAGTTTCTTTTAGTATGTAAATTAATACACATCATTTTATACATTAGAGTCTATTTTTAATTTCATATCATTGAAATTCACACCATTTATACGCCTTCATGTAGGGCGACTACTGCTTCAGGGCATCCTAATAAACCAGTTCAAATGAAAAAGAATAATAATTGAACATGTTAATCAAGTACACTGTCAATTTCATGTTTTTTCATCAAATGTATAAACCAGTGAATGAATTCCATGCTTACACAAATGCCGACTTCAAAAGCAACACCGGAAATGGAGGTCTTGAGTTTGCGGATGTTGCGGTTTGTTGGCCCATGAGCGACAACATAAGTGGGTTACATACTTGCTGGAGATCTCTACCTAGATGAATAATCTTCTGAATTAACGTAAAATGAAGTAGCCTTGTTTGTATTCAGTGTTTCAATCATTTAATAAATGTGTACTAAGCTATTCTAAGCAACTTTTCGCATGTAGTTGTCAGGCACTGAGCTATAGGTACCCTGTGAGGGTCGTGATTAAAAATATTTTTTCTCGACGTTTGTTACCAAAAGATTATATCTAGTTAAAACGCACAGAATATGAAGTTGAGAATTTAAATTTTCATAGAATAATTACAATTTTTCACCTCTCTGACCACCCAAGGCACGGAGTTTGGTACAGCGAAGTGTCAACTACGGATACGACATTGACAACCAAACATCTATTTCGAAATATTGACGTTAGTCACATCCAGTCTAGAGCGATATAAAGATAATGCAATAGCGTATGTATAACGAATTCTGAACATTCTCTATCTAGCAGTTATTATAACATGTCTTTTCAAAAGTTGAGGGTATTAAAAACGAAACACTATAAAACTGCATGTTATATAAAAAAAAAAAGGATAATTTAACAGTGTACGAAAAGGTAGAACAATTGAAGACCTGAGTGCAAGAACCAGATAATAACCAGAAGTAAAGTTTGGAAAAAAATGATAAAAACATTTGACATTACTTCAAATATGAAATGCATCAAATTTTCTTGTGTGAAGTGACGGAAGGGAACAATAAGAAAATATTCTCTAATTTTGCTTCAGTAGAAAATATAATAATTAGATAAATATGTGTTGGATATATCCGGTCCTTGCACTCACAATATCTACAATGAGTTCAAGCAAAAATAATTGGTCATAAATGATTTGCATATCAGTTACATTCTGAATGTCCTTCTCGAAGAATCGTGGTAGGTGGTATTTGTAAGTGAACGTATACTAATTCACTCGAACAACTGGAAATTTCTAATAAGTTGATGCTACTATGTCATACTATTCTTCTGGGACTAAGACGTATATCTTTTTCCGTTTGATTTTTTCAATTTCAGAAACGGTCCGAACACACGCTATAAATGAATATCCAAGGTTAGAAAAGTGGTGATATATTTGGAAAAAAAATTCGATTAAGTAAGTGAGCTTAAAATTGGGCCATCAAGATATTTTAGTTTTGCCCGGCCCAGTAGTCACTGAAGAGATGTAAGGGTTTAACATTTTGAGGCATATAATGTTTAACTCTACATAATGTTTAAGAATTGATACAACTTCATTTGAATCTTTTTTCCCCTTTGGTTTCGTCTTACATACACATTTTATGACATTCGATCTTACTAGAATAGAAACCCAACATACAAAGACATATCCAGCGCAAGTAAAAGATTTCATAGACACTTTAATTTTTTGTGTATTTGTTTCCCTTTGCTCTTCATTTTCGTCTAGGACCAGTTCAGTCCTGGGAGCAAGAAGTGGACAATTTTGGCTATTATCGTTCTTGCACTCAGAGAGTAGAAAATTCCATTCCCGTTTCCTGGGGGATTAAGAACTTAATGTCGAAAATGACAATGTCTACTGACAGAGAGCGGGGTGGGCTTCGTATCCAAGCGAATATCTTTTTTCCACAAAAAGTCGTCATTATCTGGTTCTTGCACTTAAGTCTTCAATTCATAATCTGCGCGAACATCTAAAAAATAACATAAAAATGAGATTTCTTTATTTTGGAGCTGAATATTCTACTGTCAGAAAATTCAGGTCGATTTTCCGAATATCATTCTATCATTACTTCTCTCAGTTTCCTTTTATTGCAAATTGGCTCCTTCAAGTTCACTATTGAAAATACTTTTCAACCAGTAACTGGTAACGTCTTAATTGATGGCGAACAATTATTATTTCAAAATTTATAGACTACAATTAATTAACACTAAAATTCCACCAAAAAGTAGTGAACACCACTTATGCAACCAAAAATAAATTTATTTTGATTTTGGGATCGCGTCATTTGACATTCTCGATCTCGTGATGCAATTTTCGTCACTTTCATTTCAATGACAATAAAATGCAACTTTTTAACCTTCAAGGCAAATAAAAATTGTTTTTAAGCCAATGAATTATTTTATATTTATCAAAATAACCTTATATTACTGACTTTACCTCAATAAAAGTGAGGAAAATAACGATTTTTTTAAAATGGAAATCATCGACCTACTTAAATAGATTCTACTATTCCGTATCTTCAACTGTATGTACAGTTATTATTACACGCGTGCGCTTATACGTGTGCCTTTCGTAAATATTTTTATCGAAAAGCTAACTTTAAATTACACGAAGATCTGAAATGCTAGTGAGCAAGAGCAGTGATTTGTGAGTAACCTAACAGTCTCTTTTACGCAACGACGTAACAATCAGGCATGGTTGTGAATAGAGATTGGTTCCATAAGACGTGCGTAGACGTTTCTCTGAAAGGCCGAAACATCAATCTCTGACCTCTGAGGTCAAGCCAGACGCAGGAGGAAAAAGCTGAAGCAAGCCGACAAGAAGACTGGAGAGGGGAAGGGCCAGGCGGTGGGAGGAGAGGGAGGCGGGAATTTTGATTCAATGCAACGCCAGAAGACTCGGAAATACGTGTCGGGTTATTTGAAAAAGTATAGAATGAGAACTGAAAACAATGTCGACGAGCGAAAAAGGGTTCTAAGCGAAGAAAGTAACAAATGAGAAGACCCAAGAACAAAGGAATAAAGGAACAGAAAAGGGAAATTAGGGGGGACGAAATGGAGTCGGTAAAATGCGGAGACAGAGAGAGAGAGAGAGAGAGAGAGAGAGAGAGAGAGAGAGGGAGAGAGGGAGAGAGGGAGAGAGGGAGAGAGGGAGAGAGGGAGGGAGAGGTGAAGGCATGAAAAGCGGAGGAAAGAAGTAGACACGGTAGCGAGGAGCACCCTGCGAAGAACGGCAAATCAGTTGGGGGAGGAGGATTTGCAAGAGGAAGGGGGGAAGGAGGAGTGGAAGAGAAATAGGGAAAAGGATGAGTGGAAGAAAAAAGGTGGAAAAGGAGAGGAAGAAAAAGATGGAAAAAGGAGAAAGGAAGAGAAAGGGGAGGGAAGGAGTAAAATAGAAAGGGAGAAAAGGAGGATTGAAAGAGAAAGGGGGAAGGAGTGAAAGAGAAAGGGGGAAAGGCGGAGTGGAAGCAGATGAGAAAGGAGGAGAAAGAAGAGGACGAGGAAAAGGAAAGAAAAGAAGAAAGAGACTAGCGGGGGGAGGAGGGGCGGAGGCCGGCGGGGGCCGGCGATGGGGCGGCGGGGCGCGCGCAAAGTCCGGCCCGGGGCCCCCGCTGAGCGCGCGTCGGCTCGCGGCTTGGGCAACGCGCGTAAGTGTGCCGGTAGAAAGCAAGACGGCCGGCGGCCGCAGCAGCGCGCGTGTCGCAACGAGCGCAGTACTGCGAGGCAGTACCTGCTACAGCGAACGCCACCACCGCGGCCGCCGCCGCCGCAGCCCGGACGCGCCGCGCGACCACGGATGACGAGCGCGGCCTGACGATGAAACTGCATGAACCAGAACGGGAACGCCATCCCATTAGTGCAAAGCCCCTCGCGCCGTTCACTACTTCCTCGTCCAAGACAATGTAGTTCCCGTGAACTTGACACACTTCTCAACCCGGTAGCGCGGTTTACAGGAATTCGCGATGTAGTCCCACTGTAACTCGTGTTCTCGTCGAGTAGGGGTATTGAAGCATCGCTGCAACTTACCTTCTTCTGACTCCACAGCGCATTCACCGAAGGCTTGCCTCGCCGGAAGTCCGCTTGGTCGATGACGTCGTCGTGGAGGAGAGACGCGGTGTGGATCATTTCAGAAATCATCGCAACCTCTCGTTGGCTCGGTAAAAGCAAACTGCAACAAGAAGCCACAATATCAGGAGAATGCTTCCTACTTTGTATACGTAATGCAGAGGCCTAGATCTTCAACGTGGAGAGCAAAAATACGTTATTTAATTTACAATACCCACATATTTGTATTAATCTTAAACCATTTTCTTATCTTTCTTTGACTAATGACATTTCGATAGCTCATATGAAAAGCAACAGATCAAAACATCTTTTCTCCAAGACAAAATGTAATGCATTCTGGTGTCACAAAGTCACAATGAAAGAATTTCTGATGTGATAATTATATTTTCTACCTAACTGAAATGGACTTCGTATTTTTTTTATTTGCCCCACGTGTTCTTTCAGAAAATGTAATATAAGTTAACATTTCGCTTTAAATTAAAACGGGTGTTATCGAGTTAATGCATTCCGATCTGTTACTATCATTGATTGATGTACTTCTGTTTTGGCTATTTTATTATTTATTTTTAAAACTCTTATATCTTGTAAGTGCAATTTCAATGCCTATGAGAGATTGTTATCGTCAGCGATCTGTTATTACTATATTATCAACGCACCAATAGCATATTAGGGCAGAAAGATTGTTTAAAAAAGCGTATACTGCATACTCCATTGAGACTTCCACAATATTACCTCTTGACGCAAAGAGGATCCATTTCAACGGATTTGAACATCCATTTCAACGGATTGTAAAATACACTATCTTTAATTATCACATGCTGTAATGCATATTCAAAAGCCGATATGCGCATATTGTAATCTATTATTAAAAACGAATAGGTACAAGATTATTGTATTATATTTTCTTACTCTTGTAATCTTCGATACAAGGTAGATAAATAATAACTCTGTTTGTAGAATAAGTAAATTATTAGTTATCGTTCCAAATCCAAGTACGTCGTTACTTTCTCACAAAACGGAAACAATGGAATTGAAGTATATTAGCGATAACAATTAACTTAAAAATGTGGTTCTACAGAATGGCATTCACTTTCGCGCAATAGTTAGTTTTCTAAATCTTTTAGTTTCGGCTATCTGATCAGTTTAGCCCCAGTCTACTCAGCTACTCCTAAACGACAATGTTTCACGTTTTCTAAATTTTCCGGATTCCTAATAGTAACACTGAAATAGGTCGTTAAGAATAGTACAGAAGAATAAAATATATGCATATTTTCATTGCAACAGAGCTTTTCTTGAGAAAATGATGTTTGAGAGTTTCTGAAAAAGCGCAATTTTGAGCTTCTTTTCACAGAAATGTTTAGTGTTTTCGAAAAACATTATAAGAAATTATTTGAAGTATTTGTATTCAAAATATGATCATTTTCAATAACAAACAGTAACAATATTCCGTGTGCCGAAGTCAAATCAATTAGTGTTGAAATTAACATTTTCTTTATAGAAGTCAGTAATGAATATTTCTCTGAGTGTGTAAAAATGAAGGGAAGTGAAATCTATGTAAAATGCCGTAGAGAAGTCAAAAAAGCAGTTTGAAGTATAATACTACAGAAATTCGGACTAAAAACGTGCACTCATTAACACGAAAACTGACAAATCCAGAGCAAAAAGCAGAACTAGTTATGTGTGTGGACACTCTCCCTCTCTCCCTCTCTGTGTCTGAAAGAGAGGTCTTCGTAAATTACAAAATAATTCGTATTTTCTGTAGATAAAGATGTTTTATCTCGCGATTTTTTCCGTTTTCACTTTCTTCTGATAAAACTAATAACAACTAAGTAAATACTCTGCCCACTACCACATGCCTGCAAATCGGCCGCGCAATATTTTTTATATCGCATTGGAGATGGAAATATGAAACGCAAAGGGCACTTTCTTATAAATTTAATATCTTTGCAACATTTGCCGGAAAATATGGATTGAGAAAAGTGAATTTTTTAAACACGAGATGGGAAAATCACCGACCGAAACGGTAGACGACGTCAGCAGTATATACAAAGATAGAAATATTCGTATTTCGCACGTAATGCATGCAATGTATTTTGTACAGCCATATTATTTTTTTATTTTAAATCTAATACAAATTAGGGCACGATTCCACAAGCAGTAGAATAGTTTTAGTGTATGAATATAATTACATCTCTTGCACTGTTGTGTGCACGTTTACTATTTTTGACAAGCGTGGCCGACACATGTAATGAGCGTGATTAAGCATTTTTTTTGTGCAAGACACACTGGTAAAATGAGAAAAACCTATGAAGAAACCGAAGATTTATGAAGGAAGTTTTATTAGGAAGATTTATTTTTATTAGGAAGTTTTATGAAGGAAGATTTATGTAAAGTAAAATTGTTTCAAAAAAGGCGTTTGGAGTAAAAGGAAGACGTCTTGATTACCAAATAAACATCTTTGCACTCAAGTACGTTTTTTGACTAGAGAGCAGATGGTATTTTTGGAGCTGTAAGACAATCAGTAAATTATTGTGCCGCGAGTGAATATCAGGACTGCTGATAACGTATTAGTGTATATAAGTAAATTCTTAATACAAAGAGAGAAGACGGCCACAACCGTGGCTGGTACGGCTACCAACATGGTTTTTTCTGACTACAGGGACACCCTAACCTCCAACAACTCAGAACAACATCCCGTAAGCGGAACTTGTGCTAATGTTGCCAATAAAGATACTTTCCCTAGCAAAAATTAAGCTACAATCATTGATGCACCAGACGGATTAAGCATTAAAGAACACATAAACAAGATTGCATCAATAGTTGGTACCAGTAAAATACAATTTATATCTCGTATATCCAATAACAGGATCTGCATTTTTCTCTCAAACCTTGAAATTGCTAGAGTATAACAGATAAACACAAATTCTTACAAAAATTGATAAACATAGACTAAGTGTAAGACCCTTAATTAATAAGTACGTCATCATCTCTAATGTTTGCCCACTAATACCCTCCGAAGAAATCCTAAATTTTCTAAATCAAAGAGAAATTAAAACATCTACCAAGATTTTCTTCGTCAGAGCAGGCATATAACAGCCTGGCTTATCTCATATTTTAAGTTCCAGAACGCAAGTGTTTATAGGCCCCTACGATGTCATGAAATTATCTGATTCTACTTTAATTTTTTATGAAGACAACATACAGAATTTATTTTTCTACCGAAACCATCTCTTGTTTCCTATGTAAGCAAGAAGGTCATTATGTAAATCATTGTTCCAGTATATCTACTGAAAATGAAGCAATGAACACCACTGCTGAAGTTCATGAAAGTTCTCAAAGAAAAAATAAACCAGAACCTGAAATTGCACAATCACAAAACTTAACATCTGTAAATAATGAAGATAACTTTCCTCCTTTAACCATAAAAACTTCCATCTGAGTCCTCTCAGGGTGAAGTATTGAATAGTAACAGTCAGACTAAATCTACTGTAGAGTACATAAAAAACCTTTGCACAAGAAAAAAAAGGAAGACCCTTCACAATACAATCACAAACTAAATGTTTATTGAGCTAATCAAGAAAAAATTCCCTTAAATGTTCAGAAATATAAATAACTTGTAGAAAATGAACATGGAGCCAAAGATGCAATGATTATAGTAAAAGATTACACCACAGACATTCAAGCATTAATCCTGATGATGAATCAAACATAATAACTCCTTACTGAAAGCGCAATAAAAAGTAGATTTACTAGAATCACCAAAAGGTTGAAAAGAGCTCTGCAGCTGTATGAACTGATACTGATACAAGTTTAGACACCTTAATCATCGATTCTAATTGATGAAAGTTAGCCAATGATCAAATTCAAGAAAACTCACAAATATTTTTTTAATATACACTTATGAAAATTTTACAATAGAATGTAAATGGATTTTACACAAGTCTTGAAAGACTGAACATGTTATGAAAAATTCACTCACCAGAAATAATTTGCTTACAAGAAATCAACCTTAAAGCACAAAATTCAGAAAGAATAAAAGCCAGTGGTGGAGGGGCTATATTTGTTAAAGATTACATACCCTGTTCAAAAATCAACATTTCAAGTGAAATAGAAGTAGTAGCTATTAAAATCCAAGTCCCAATTTCGCTGTGCATTTGTAATATATATATTTTTTTGAATTAGTAATAGAAGATGTGTATTTGATCTTACTTAACAGTGGTGACACACTTCAACACGAGTTCCGGTACCTCCAGCGCAATTTACCTTACTTTATGTTCTGCAAATGTAACACTTAATTGGAGGTGGTACACCTTAGATAATCCATATGGCACTGATTACTTTCCTATTTTCACTGACATTAACTTTTTTCCCAGTACAATCAGCACTGAACAACTAATTTCAAGATGGAGTTTCAACAAAGCTAACTGGAAGCTCTACGAAGAATTAATAAGTAAATACTTATAAGAGGTAAATATTCAAGAAAACAATGATATACACACAATAATAAATACTTTTCAAGACATAATAAGGCAACATATAAATCAATAGGAATGTCAAGACCAGACAACAAAACGGAGTGCTCACTGGTGGAATGATAAGTGAAGTGTACAGATGTCATAAACAATTACAAACACGCCTTAATCACTACAAAAAACATAATACTGAATATAACAATATTGAATATGAGAGCTATACCAAGAGCTATTAAAGAAAGTAAAGCAGAATCTTGGTTTAGCTACGTTTCAAGTATTAATATCCATAACAATTTAAAATAATAATGGTCCAAGATAAATGCTAACCAAGGTAAGCGAAGAGAAAAAAATAAATTACTAGATACCTCCGAGGAAACTCCCAGAAACCACTACTAACCTCTCTCTAAATGACTTACAAGAAAATATATCATCTGAAGAAGACGAAACCAAAAGGACAAGAATTCATCAAAAAATACACCGACTACTATAAAATATATACTATGGGCATCAAAAACAATATTGGAACGTTTGCTATGGTAACTACTCAAGAAATAGAAATAAACTACGAACTAAATTGATATGGTAAAACCTCCGCAAGAGAATTATGCTCCCTGCTTGCAGGCTTCACGCT